ACCCTAAACCCTAAACCCTAGCCACACCAAGCCTCGAAGTCCAATCCGCGAACATGACACCAGGCTTTGCGACGCTGTCGAATCCCCAGCTTTGCAGGACCTCTAAAGAACCGCGCTTCTGCATTAAGGGATAGGGTTTAGGGTTTAGGGATAGTGAACTCTCTGAATCCTGTTTTCAACATTTGCAGCGCTTTCAAGCCCAATAGGCTGCAACCCCTCAACCTCGGAGCTTCAATCCAAGAGCTCTTGAAGAAAAAGGCAGCTTCACGCGAAGTCCTTGCTGCAGCTTCCGGAATCCAGCCTCTTATGCTTCTTTATATGTGACTTTCTTGGCTGGCTGTCCCTTACGGGCCCTTGCAATGAGATACCGGAATCCTGGTCTTGTGGATGGATACTGGGGGTCCCGACACTCATTCGGCGTTTCTAGGGTATCGATTAAGTTTACGGCCTACGCCCGAACCAAGCCCCACTCCATTATCCAAAGTGGGGTCGAAACAAAAGGGCTCCTCGGCATTGCCCATAACTGACGGCCCCGTCCTGACAGGTGAGTAAGCTGTCGCTTCAAGATTCAGGAACCGCGAGAGGTTTAGCTGTGCTTCTTTCAACCTCGGCATCAGCATCATGGCCCCAGAATAACCTGGTAGCTTAGGCGACCTTACGACCTTGTCTGTGCTTTGTCGTCCCACCAGAACTCAAGTAATTAGTAAAAGACCCTGAAAGCAAGGCTTGGAAGAGTCGATATCCTGAAGCACCTACAAGCCGACGAGAAGGAGCCTCTGTTCGCACGCGGCATGCCCTGGGGCCTCCTAGGAGGATCATGGGACTTAGTAAGTAGGGTTATAACTAAGATAACTATACTTATACCCCCAATTAAGGGACTTATAACCTTACTTACTAAGTCCCATGATCCTCTAAGTAGGAGGATGAAGGGACTCCGCAAGCCCAAGTTGCTGAAATCTTGCCAGGTCTGAAGTCAAGCGTTGAAGGAGCAGGACACCTCGTAAAAGCTTCCGGCTCCTAGCACGCGGGCCATCCTTTGCACACGAACCCTTCTAAGAAACGATTGACCTACTTATCCGGCTTAGGCCGTAATGAAGCACCCAATTCAGGCCTGTCATCCTGAGCAAAGCAATTTGTGCTGTCACTGACTGGCGGAGTTGGTCATGAGTGTGAGGTGTGTTTCTCTTGCATGGCTCCCTTGCAAGTGTTTGGATTGGTAGGGTAGGACTCGAGAATCACAAACCGTCACTTGTGGTGGAACAGCTGGTCAGTTGCTCCACGGTTTGGTGGTTTGTCTACTTAGAGGATCATGGGACTCAGTAAGTAGGGTTATAACTAAGGTAACTATGCTTCTAACCCCAATTAAGGGACTTATAACCTTACCTACTAAGTCCGATGATCGTCTAAGTAGTGAGGGTGTTGGCGCTTTGCTCCTCGGGTGCTTGAGAACCCAAGAAGCCAGGCGATGCTTGCAGATGCGCTCATTGAGCCCGCAGCCCAGAAAGCCGACATGGGAGTTTCCGAAAATCGGGCTCTCAGGCTATGTAAGGGCTTTCGAGGGTCGATGAATATCGGGCTCAGCTTTTCTCGAACACTTTGGGTTCGAATGTTGAGGCTGTCGAGAAACCGGAGCCGTCGGAGCAAAACGGGCTCCAACCTGGGGAGGCAAAAAGGGATATTGGCTTTTGGAATCGTAGGAGCCTCTTCGGGCTTCTCCTGTGAACACTCTACAGCACTTAGCTTCAGACCCCACGCTACAAGGGTTCTTCTCCTAATGGCCCACAAAATCCCAGACCACAAGTCTTAACCCTGACCCTTCGCCTCCAAGCCCGGACCCAAGAGGCTTAGCTATCTGATTGCCGCGATGTTCCAGGTTCTCTTCGACTACAACCCCTTTAAGCCCAAAGTCCCTTTTGCCAGAAGGCCATCATCATTCTGTCCTAACCCCCGAGACCCGCGGCTTGAACCCTACCAGAGCGAGCGACCCCCCCCCCGGCAAACACCAACAACTTATGAGCTCTATGGCATTGCCGGAACCAGAAGTTCGAACCCGAGGCGGACATTCTACAAGGGCGAGACCATCATACAGCGTGGCCCTTGGCAGGATATGTGATTCAGCGCCATCTGGGATTTAGGACTTTAGGGTCTAGGTCAGAGGATTGGTTGAAGGGATTCAGGGCTCAGTGCATTGCAGTCCCCGCTCCGAAAGAGGGGTATAGGATTCCGGGTCTTGGGGCTCTAGGATTTGGGGTCATGTTCGCTTCTGAAGGTCCGAATCTTCATGGCTACTTTGTCCAGGTTCAAACGAGCATCCTACATTCCGAGTCCGTGTTCGGGGCCCTTCTTTCTGAAAGGATGATATCCCAACATCATCCCTAGTATGCTAGATTGCAGTGAAGCACGTAAGTAATGAAGTAAGTGAGACAGCTCAGCTCGCCACCACGTCATCGAGATTCGAAGAGGAGCCATCCCCGGGGCCATCTTGCAAGATACGCTTGAAACCGACACGAGAACCCGAAAACGACGCCCTGTAGAATAACGTTCTGTAAATCTTCAAACTGCGGTGAGGGGTTTACATGTTAGGCTCGGGGTGGGCAATTTCTGGAAAAATGAGGCCCAAGTGCCCCCTAGCAGCTTTGCCTGAACCCTTCCTAACGAGTGCATTTAGACGTGCACTGCTCGAGGCAGGGCGAGAAAGGCGATACCTTCTACATCCTCTACGACGGGCAGGCCATGTGGCATCATCAATGTGGTTCGAACGCTAACCCTAAACCCTAAACCCCTAAACAGTGTCCGAGTTGCGAGAACGTAAACCCCTAAACCCTAAAGGTCTTCGTGTGCTCAAGGTCTGGGCTCCTGCTCGAAATCCGCCGCCCGAGAGAGCAAAGTCTTGAGGGCTCATGGCCCAGAGTTTACAAGACCTCGATGAGAGGCTAACCTAGTCAAAGCTGGAAATATGGGGGCCTGAATAATTCCTATATTATTTTGGGGGCTCCTTAGTACAGTATAATGGTCCGCAAAATCCTCTTCTTTTTATTCCTCAATTATTAAGGCTCTTATTCTGGGGGCTCCTTATTGGAGTATCATGGCCCGCAACATCCTATTCTAATTCTTAAGGCCCCTACATGAGAGGAGCAGCTCCTGGCCCGGACTCCGTATCTGCCAGGTTTCTGTCCTCGTCGACAACCAGGAGGTTGCAAAGCTTCAGGGCGCAAGACGCTCAAAGACTACTCTGGGCTTTGTGGGTGGGGGGCGGGAAGATCATAAGATCTTAAAGAATACTGGCTCAGTTTGAGCCCTCTGGTTTTTTTTTTGGAGGGGGGGGAGGGGGGGGGCGCTTAAGGTCATAAAGTCATATCTTATAAAATGTGGGGCCCAGTATGGGGGCCAGAACCAACATTCGAAAGGGCGTAGAATGACAGAACAAAAAGCAGCGATACCCAGAAATACAACCTGACAGAACAGGTGGAAAAATTATCACTGTGGCGTAAGTTTTCTTAGCCAAGAGAACCAGGGTTGAGGTCTGAAATGCTTTCGCAGCCCGACTAAGAGACCCCCGATTTTTGTTACGTTTCTTGAGCCATCTAATCAATCCGCTGCATGATTGCGCGGGTGTCTTGGGAAACCTCTAAGCCATGGCAACATGCCAAGACCGCCGACACCAATGCCAACTTCTTTGGGGAGAGGGCGCTCCTGAATGCCTGGGCCCCAACGTGTGGCTACAGATAAGCTTCCCAGCGCAAGCAAATCAGGTTCAAACCGGAATCCGAAAGCCTTTAAACCCTCAACTCTGACAGCCTCTTCCAAAGCCAAGCCCGCAAAACCTTCCAACTCTTGTTTGGCCGCCAACCACGAAAGCATGGCTTTTACTGCCTAGCAGCCTGCAAAACCCTCCAGAGATCGCTCCGCAATTCCTGTCCCGAGTGTTGTATACCAAAGGGCAGAAAGCACCTTGTCCGGTTTATGCGGATCGTAGTCCTAGGTGGGCTCGGGCTCTTCATCACTAATAGCATTCTTCCCACAGTGTCCTACAGAAACACACGCACACACACACACGTGTATGTATATATAATTATATATAAGTATATATATATATATATATGTAGACATGTGGATAAAGCCCATCGAACCTTCTGATAGCTTGAAACCCCTCAACCCTCAGCCCAGATTGCGCCTCACAGTGAGACACTACAGGTCCAACAAGCTCAGGATTTGGCTTCTATCTCAATGTGGTACTTAACAATTCTTGCTAGCATGAGGGTCCGTTTCAGAAGGGTCCCCCGACGCTTCCGGAGCCGAGGACGAACCCCGGGCAGCCACCATTGTGGCCAAGAGCGACAAGGCTGGAAGCAAACTGCAGAACCGACTAAGATAGGTGGTATATAGTGTAGAGTATGTAACTGGAATGAGATATTATATATATATATATACACACACAGTGTGTGGTGTTTGTCTGTCTGTCTGTCTGCCTGTCTGTCTGTCCGTCTGCTTGTCTGTCTGTCTGTCTGTCTGTCTGCCTGCCTGTCTGTCTGTCTGTCTGTCTGTCTGTCTGTCTGTCTGTCTGTCTGTCTATTTGTTTGGCTGTTTGTCCGTCCGTCGGTCTTCTTGTCTTGTGTTGTCTTGTCTTGTGGTTTATCTATCTATATATGTATGTATGCATGGTTTTCAACCGTGGGTCGTCTGGATGCAACACCTGGAATTCTGACTGGTGGCTGGGGGTAGAAAGCTGAGTCCAGCTTGGCCGGTTTGCAAAGCTGATGCTTGTAAGTTGACTGACGGCTGGGGCGATGTGATTGTGCCTTGACGAGCTGCAGGAAGACAGAAAACGAGCTTTTGAGAAGAGTATGGTAGAAGACAACGCTGTCGGCAGTGTGCGATGCACGCGTTAGGTGTGCTGCATGCTCTCGTTCTCTCGTTGTGTTGTGGCCGAAGTGCTGTCTTGACGAACAGTTGCTGGTGCGCAGTTGTCCTCCCTAACCTTCGCCTAAGTTTAGAGCGCGAGTGCTCAAAATGTATACATGCAGTGTAGAACGGTTGACGAAGAATATGCGAGAAGGCGAAGGCTTAGCCTGAACAGCCTGAAGATTAGCAATCGTCCTTTGGGATTTTTCATAGTTTTGCTACAAAGAAAGACGCTGCACAGCCTTGTTTACTGTTTGAGGCCCCTTTTCTGCGTATGTTTGGGGCAGGCAAGGCCTCGACACCCTTAAATCCTGAAGCCTTGTTCCATTGCCCTTTTCAGCTCCATCTCACCTTGATCCGATTCAGGTCATGGTTCTGGCTCTTGATCGCCGGGGACTTTGTGCTTCCCGCATGGGGCTTCTGCGGTTTAGGGTTCAGTGCTGGTTAGCGCTGCTGGGAAGACGTGCTTTCTGGGATGTTTTCGCTAGTGGAGAGACGGATGCGAGCTTTGAGCCTTTTCTTGGCAGGTGAGATGGGGGTTTTGGATTGCAGGTCTCAAGACGATGCGCCGTGAGTCCCACCGCGCACTTGGTAAAGGGTTTCAAGAAGGGCTTTTAAGAGCAGAGGGGCCCAGCCGCTTTCTGCCATTTTTCAGTTTCCGTCTCCATTGTGCTCCAAAGCTTCAACGCTCCCCGGCTCTAGGTGAGCACTTCCTGATGGTCGTGCGGGGCGCTCGGTGTAATATAGGGGCCTGAATAATTAGAATAGGGTCTTTGGATCTATTATACCATAATTGCAATAGGGAACCCCCAAAATTGTATTGGTAATTATTTAAGCTATCAGGAAGTCAGGGAAGGGCAAGGACTGGTTTCAACTTTGGCGCAAGTGTGCTGTCTTGGAGTGCGATGCACCATCCTGTTGCTGTGCTCCGAACGAATATGACTGCTTTTCTGTCAGTAAGATTACAGGGAGTACTCATAAGGACTACTCTCGAGACATGGTTATGTTGACTGCGGTATCATATATGGCTCTTGCCGTAGGTTCCACGAAGCCCAAACAACTGCACATGTAAAGAAGGTTTTAAGGGGAAGGCCCGTGGATTACCTAGACGGAAGATCGCAAGCCCAAAAGCGCACGATGGCCCCTAAACCCTAAAACCCCCAATGGGACATCTATGACACATGCAACAGCAGAGAGCTGGTAGCAAGCTCAGACTCTCTAGCGCCATGCCTGCTGAGTGCGAGGGTGTGAGTTGAAAACCCCCAATGCCCCGAAGCACTACACCAGGAACCCAGATCAGCTGGTCCATGGTTTGAGCACCGCACTGAGACGGATTAACTCCGTGAGGCCATCGGTCCGGGTGCTAGATATGCCGACGGTGCACAATACCGCGATGCACCATATATCACAAGAACATGCCCTACGTACAAACCGTTGAAGGCAGAATTCTTTAGCAAGGGCTACTCGTCTCTGTCGGCGATTCGGAGGAGGGGACACTCGTAACTCCCTTAGGGTCGCTGAAAGAACACAGGATGAAAGCTTCTGTTGTCATGTGTTCAGAATCCCAGGCAGTCCTTTCGAGCTTATGCAAGAAGGGGGATTCGGAGGTGTAGAATCACGGGTCAGGGTTTGAGATCTAGGGTTTAACCCTTGAAGCTTTAAGCTCAACAGCGTGGATTCATGGTTCTTTGCCAGTGGGGTTCGAAAACCCTAAACCCTAAACCCTAAACCCTAAATTCGAGTGTCTAAAAGGCCCGAAGCACGCGGTGAGCTACGACCTGAAGGCCCTGCAGTACAAGGGCCTTTTGGGCCCGGCCCTCACTTGCTTCGGAGCGCCCTTTCTGAATGCATTCACTTAGTCTTCTGTTTGTTCTTACTGTTATTGATTGTTTGTTTATGGTTATTATTGCACTGAATATTCTTATCATTATTTTTAGTCCTACCTGCTATCCTTTCTGGATTTACGGCTCTCCTGGAATTCAGGTTTAGGGGCATGGGGCGGACTTTGCAGTGGTGCATCTCTCCCATACTTGAGATGAGAGTGTGCTGAGGCTCCTGTCGGATGTCCGAGTGCGTGTGAGCGATAGGGCGGGCTCGGGGGCTCGAAGGTTTTTGGATTTTCTGGGATGGTTCAACGCACTTGGGTTTTAAAGTGGTTTTTGGCATGCCTTGGAGGTAAGGGGCTGTTTGGAGTTTCTTTTCGGGGGCCGATCATTGACACGAATATTTTCGAATACTTCCTATTAAAGATGTACGTACCGCCAGATGCCCCCAACCCTATTCTAGTGAAGGCCCCTTAGAGTAAAGCTTTCACGCCGTCGGGGTTTGGTAGGGATTGAACTGAGGCTACCAATAGGGGACTTTCCGAAGAGTTGGGGTACCTTATTTTAGGGTCCTTATAATAAGGATCCTATTATTTAGGGTACTATATTAGGGTCCCCTATTTTCGGAAACCCCCAATAGGGCTCGAGGATCCATGGGCTTTTGTACGTGGTACTTGCCGCTCTGCCGGCGCGGGTAGAGGATGCCTGTGTGGCTCTTGAGAAGACAAAAGACATCAGCTTCTGGGATAGACGCCTTGAAGACCTTCTTTGGCATCATTCAAAACCACAAAAGCTTTCGAGCATGATGGTTTTCTGAAGCCTGGGGAGTAAGACTTTGAAGTCTTGAGTTCGGTGGGAGGAATGCTTTCGGGGCTTGGACTTCAGCGCAGTTGGTTCGCGGGCCTCTGAGGTGGTGCTCGCAGTGCACACCCCAAGGTTCAAAGTATACGGACTCAAAAACCCTTCCTCAGACATCGTAGCTGCAGCCCTAAGCACTCGGGGGGGGGGGGGGAACCTTGCATCATGAGGATATGCTGAGCTATGCTGAGGTTGTGGCGGTTTCGGAACCGTCACACTGCGCAAGCAAGGGCCCCGGTGGAGAGAAGGGCAAAAAGCTCAAGGAAACAAAGCACGAACTACTTCGACATCTTGTAGTAGGGAGCGAAAAAAGGGCTTCTATAAGGACCCATTCGGGCTCCACGTGCATTCTGCAAGGAACTGTCTTCAAAGATCACAACAACAGCATGGCGTAGGTCCCATACTGTTGGGTCAGGGCCCCGTGCAGAAGAGCAGTCCGCAAGAACAATTCTTCGGCCTTTTGGAACAGAGACCGTCCCAATGCCAAATAACTTTGTTAGCATTTTCAGACGATCCTCACCTGGCATCTCTGTTTTGCCAGTCATCACGGCTCAGAGCGAGGAGCTCAATATTGATAAGGCTCCGTCTCTCAGCACAAAGCAGCCTTGCGAACTTGAGTTTTCAAGGGGTTCGGCTGTGAGCTGGTGTGCAACCCGGACTGTCAATTCGGGTATTCTTCAGCGGCAAGGTTATGTCGCAAGCCAGGGCCACTTGCTTTCATGGCAGGCAAGTTGCTTTCGGATCGCCTGAAGTGGCCAGAACACACAAATCAACCGTACGTACAGCTACTTCTTCCTGCTGCTTCCACAAGTGATGTAGTAGATGTAATGTATCTTCTTGGCAGTGCGGTAATCAGCCATTTGTGGTTTTGGTGGTTGACGCTGTTGGCACCACGCCCCAAGAAGGTGCACGCTCACGGGCAACCTTTTTGCCTTGAAGACGCTCTCCAAAGGCCAGGGTCGCCAAGTTGATACCATAGGGGGCTTCAATAGTTACGTATACTATGTTGTGGGCTCCTTATTATGATTATAGTATAATGTACCCCAAAGCCCTATTCAATTATCAAGGCCTACATTACCGCTCGTTCCCGAAAGCCGCCTTTGTGATCTGTGCCGACTTAGGGGCCTGGAGGCTCCAACATGGCCTGGTCCTCACCTGAAAATCTTCACCCGCTGCACAGGCTACATCGTCCAGCAGCGGCCATGGGCCCAGTGCTGTCAACGACTCACTCCTTGATTGCATGCTCATCAGATACCACAAAGGGAGTGAGGTTCCAAGTTTGGGACCACTGCGATGATCCCACAGAGAGCTTCCTCCTTGATCGACGGAGCTTGAAAACCTGAGACAGGGGTCGCCGGCATCTCATGTCAAGGTGTGTTACGGTGGCAGCCACTCTGAACCTCAAGCCTAGCCTATCCGCAGAAGTTGGCAATTAAAAGAATGAGCGGCATAGCCTTTGCGCCTGCCCTGAAGCCTGCATGCCACGGCATGATGCATTCCAGCCTTGACGCTCTGAGTAAGTCCCGGAATCCGAGACCCACGATCGCGGGATTAAGAAGGTGTTGAGCGACGAGTACTAAACACCAGACCATTATGCCCGGCAACAGGCAAGAACTCGCCGTCATGAATGAGAAGCAGATTCTCCGCATGACCAACAGCCCCTTCATCGTCCGGTTGGCTGCAACCTTCAACGGTGCCGCTGGTTTGTCTTGAACTTCATGTTTCAGGATCCGGGCGTGCTTTATAAGGCATACACGATCAAACCTTTCCTGCGAGCGGGTAGAAGACATGG